ATCATAATTAGTTTTAAATTAAAAATTAATTATTTAACATCAGTAAAAAGGAAAAAAATGCGTTTTTTGGACCTTTAACCCCGATTATCTCCGCTAATATAGTTGCTAATGCGCTAAAATTTTGTTTATAATCTAATGAAAACATATATAACCAGTCTACAACTTTTTATCAAAATTGAAAGGGGTCGGCCGAAAATCTTGATTTTTTTGCTCATTTGACATGGAATGACCCCTAAATGATCAGTCACACTATATATTTTTATTTAAATTGTCATAATTGTAAGGCGATTGAAGAATCTTTTGAGATATTAAAAATTTTTTTAAAAATAGGACAACTTTTTATCAAAAATTTATTTTATATTGTCACCAAAATATTTAGACATGTAAAACTCTTAAACAAGGTGTTTTTGACAGTTATATTAGATAGAACTCGATTTATATGGGATGTAAAGGTATTAGAATATAATTAAACTAAACAAATAAAATAATCAATTGGTGGAATAATTCATAATAAAAATTATAGCCTATCTAGAATTTTGCGTAAGGTAGAGGAGCAAATATGATATTTTTTAGGAAGGGCAAATGCCACCTCGCCTCTATCCTAAATATGTCCATGTATATTACATATTTTTAGAAAATGTTTGTTAAATGCAACCTATGCTAAAAAAATTTTTAACCTTATTTAACTAATTTTTTTTCAAATTGCAAAACTTCATTGACAAAAAAAATAAAATAGTAAAAAAATGTATAAATTATTTATCATTATATTTGAGTAAAATGTCAAAAAATAGAATTTGTTGTAATTTTTTTAAAAAAATTAGAAATGAATTCAACCTTGCAAAAGAGTGAGATTTTTTTAAAAAATAAATTGAAAGAATTCAGAAGAATGATTAATGAACATACTACTTTAAATTTATAAGATATTTATTTAAATTACATTAAATTATAGAAATAATTAATCAGGTATTAATAAACCTCAGATTATAAGTCTCAGATCTTTTTTCGAGGGTCCGATCAATCCTAAAACTATTATTTCTAGAAATAGGTCCAATATCTAACTTAAAATTGTTTATTTTTAAGGAAAATTATGAGGAAGAATGTTTTTTGTCTATAAAATATGATAAAAATGTATTAAAAAAGGATTATGAAAATAAAATGATTTAAATTTTTGCTAGGCCCTGCTCGAAAGCTCACCCGAATCAGGTTCGAGCTGTTCAAATTACATAGCTCTAGTAAAAAATTAAGGTAGAATGTTGGCTTTGTTATTTTATATTTTGTTATAAAATACCAAAATATAGTATAAATTTGGTGAAATTATTCCTGCCATTTATTTGCGATCGATACACCGCTTAATTAGTAATTAAACGTGCACAAAAAAATTAAAAATCATGGAAATTAATAAAATATAATAATATCTTTTATTAAGTCGCCAGAGAATTTTAGTAAATGAGATTTTGTAGAAAAATGCAAAAAAACATGTTATACTTTAAAGGGTTCAAAATATATTATCTAGCGCGGATGCTTAAATTTTGCAACATTATTTATTAAGCCTGTCTTTTTTAATTAAAAGAATCTGATTTTGCCGAAATATGCTCAAGCATGGTATATAATATCTATCCTAAAACAATTTTGTCATGTGATTAAGGAAAAAATTTAGGTTATGAAAAATTTACTTTTCAAGGAAAAAGTAAAAATAATATTACGCTCGAGGCAAATAAGAAATTCTTTTTTTCTGTAAAAGAAGATATTTTTTAAAAAAATAGGTATGTATCGGATAGAGTCGATTATTCCCCCTTTTTTAAATAAAGGTCCGATAAATTACAGCATTGATATTTAATTTTATAATTGATTATTTTTTATTTTATAAACAAATTAAACAAAAATTTATGGATAAACATGTCTAGATTGTTTTAAAAGAGCAAATCATTTCCTGCAGTCTTAATAAAGAAATTTCAAAATCTTCCCTCTTCCTATTGGATGTTAATTTTTAATAAATATTTTATATCCATCCAATAATACGATGGACACAAAATTTAAGCCCTATATTTTATCGTTAGTATGAAAAACCCAATTATATAAAGATCTTGATATATTATCTGGTCCTTGTAATTGTTTGAATCTTTTAATAATTAAATATTACTTATTAAGAAAAATATTAAAAAACGATTCGATTTTGTTAAGTATGTACGATAAAGTAAAATTTATAGGAATAAATAAGGGAAGAAAAAAAAAATTTCTCAATTTTTAAATTTATTTCTCAAAAAAATTTTTGCAACTCTAATCATTAATAGACTATATAAGATGCTACTTTATACATGTAGAAAGGCTTTGGGGAAAAAAACAACGATTTTAATATAGGTATAAATGATTTCTGAAAATTTATATATTTTTAGATTGGCAATTATATAATTGAATAAATCTGCCTGTAATAGGTTAAATAAAATTAGACAGTGTTATATAAATGACTTATGTTATGGTTATGTAAAGGTAGATGGTGTACTATAAAAAAAATGTAGCTAAGTATATTGAAAAATTAAAAAATATATAATATGTAGAGTGAACAAAATCAAATTAATGGATATAAAATCAGTAATCGACTTATTAATATAATATCAGATTGGCCTCCAAAAAGTAGGGTAAACCTCTAAAAAACAACTACTAAATAAAATAATTGGTTCACTCATATAGAATTGACATCACTCCTTAGTGTGTCATAAAAGGGGCTAAAAAGATAAAGACGGGAAGGGCACCCAGGCAAATATATCTGCAAAACTTATATTCAGAACAACAAAAAGAGGGGCATGACCTATAAAAGTAGCAAACATACTGAACAAATTGAAAATAAAATGATTAAGTGAATGAGAAATTGCTGCTCAAAGGGCCAAAAAACTTTGGTCAAGTTTAAAGAGAATGTTGTATAAATTGTGGATCTATTATAAAAACATTTACTGAGATAGGCAGGCCATGCCTATTGCAAGACAGATGTGGGTGGAGTCAAGAAAAAAACACTGCTAAAAACAGATAGTAAGACGTTTAAAGGGGGCCTAAACAAAGCTGTGAAAAGGTGGTGAAAAAAAATTTACATAATAATGTTGGAATGATTAAATCATGATTTATATCAGTAATTTTTTGAATAAAAAAAATGATTTAAATAAATTCTATTTTTTGTTTATATTAAATATATATCCATTTTATAAAGTTAAAAATAAAACATTTTATTATACCTAATTTTACTATATTTTATATAAATTGGAATTAATTGCTAAATAATTTATTATACTGTTAATCAGAAAAAAAAAATTCATATAGTAAGCTCCTATAGAAAATCATTTTATTTCATATTTAATTATATAGAATATCATTTTAATTTTTTAATTTAAGGACATAAAGAATCAACTATTTCAAGATGCACTTATTTAAACAAATATTGATATTCAATAATTTGATACTAAGATATAATTTGAATTCTAGTTTATATGTTTTTATTGGTTATAAATTTAAATAGCCAAACATCGTTAACATTAGAATTATTTTTTAAATATAAATCTTATATCAGAATGTAATGGGCAATTAAATAGACAATTTTATAAATGATAGATATTTTTTTATACAACTTCCTAACCCTATAATAAATGCCATTATTTAAAAAAATATCTTTTTTAAAAATAAGTATAAAATTATTTGAATACAATTTTTTACAAAAAGGATTTTTAAGAAAAATGTAAAAACTAAATTATTTTTATAAAAATGTAACAAGACCAAAAGTCTGCAAAAATTTCAATAAAATTCATAAGCAGGGACACCTATTATTGTTGTGCATATGATTGGATCAAATTTAGGAAAATAATTGCCAGAAAAAAATACCAGAAAATAATTCCCCCTCAAAAATCCCTATTTTTGTAAAATATTTTTTTTAGAAAATTAATAAAATAGGAGGAAAAATTCCCTATAAATATATTCACAAAATAAAATACCCAAATAAAATATTTCAAAATTTTGAGAAAATCAACAAAATAAAAAAAATTCTTGGAATATATATTCCTGAAAAGATTTCTTAAATAAAATAAACAGAAATTATAAACAATAAAAAATAGCTGATATAAACTAAGCTTAATCTAATTTTTAAAATATCTAAGTTTTAATTTAAACGAAAAAAATATTATAAAATAAACTAATGCTAACTATATCATATTCCTCCTTAACCTAAATTACCTGCCAGATACCTAGTTTTTGATAATAAACAAAATATTATCACAAGTTAACATTTAATTATAGTGGTCCAGCCCTGATTTTCAATTTTTTAAAATGTTTAAGATTATTTATGAAAGTTAAAAGCGATAATAACCTCATTTGATGCTTACAATAATGATAATATAACTCAAATTAAAATAATACAAGTTTAACTTATTATTAACCAGTAGTAGATATATTAATAGATATTGATAAAAATTAAAATACCATTATCAAATTATTATCCTTATAATTATACTCTATTATTTTTGGTATTAGTATTGGGGGTCAGACAATAAATATTATGTTGGTGTTTGGGTATCAGTGAGTGCAACTATAGTATATAGCTAGGCCTTATCTAGTAACAAAAAAATAGTATTGTATTTTATAAAATACATATTATATTTAACTATACTATTGTTCTGTCATAAATTAAATATCACTTAACTATCATGGTAAAATAAACTAGGCCCTATTCTTTATTATTAATAATACATTTAAAAAATTAAACCAATCCTTAATTATAAACACTTATAGATATGGCTAAAAATTGTTTTAAAAAGTTTAGTATACAAATTTTTATATATTATTCTTAATTTTTCAATAAGAATAAAGTAGTTAATAATAGTGCATTTTTATAGGCATATTAGTTTTTTTAAAAAAAATGATTAAAAGAAAAATTAATAATTTAATAAAGTGAAAATAATTATATGGACAATAAGTTCCAGTTGGATAAGTTTTTAAAATTTATATAATTAAAATGATTAAACTTGGAAAGTAGTTGTCGTTTTCATTGACACTAGATGTTGGATGTTGCGAATAGCAAGTACCCATGGGTCATAATATAAATTTAAGAGAACTAGTTACATTTCAAACTACAAATAGAAACGATAAAACAATAAGAAAGAATAATATGCCACTAGAAAGATATTTTAGGTGATACGTTATAAAAGCGTTTTCGCCCTCTGGTTGGTGGGTACAACAGAGCTAATCTAGGTTTTCCTCAAAAATCCATCAAACTGAATAGTTAAGGGGAGAAAATGAGAAGCCCTTCACACGTTTGTGGGCAAGCCGCACGTACTTGTACGCGCAACAGTCCGAGAACTGTTGCTTAAACGTCTATAGGCTAATAAACAAAAATAATTGGGCAAAAACAAAAGCCTATACCCAAGAACTGCAAAAATAATTTAATTACTTTAAGGGTGGGTGGTGGCTAATTTTAAGTTTAACATCTTTAAAGCCTTAATCAATAATTGAGAATGTGTTCATATCAATTGAATTTCAAATTTACTCATGAAAAATAAGAAAAAACTAATCGGTTTACCGCAAATTGTTTAAATAGAAATCCAGTGAATAGATTGTTATAAGATAGTCTATCACTCAAGGAAAAAACTCTACCAACAAACAATTACAAACCTCGCCCCCCACTTGTTTCTCCATAAATGAAATAACAAGTGGTCAAAAAAAACTAAAAAAAAACTAAGGGAAAACAAAGCTCCGAGGCTAGATAATATCACAGCAGAATATTCAAAAATTGCACCTACAACAATATCTCGCTACCTATTTGCCCTCTTTCAATAAAATATGGGAGAGCAGAACTACTGCAGTGGGATGGAACAAATCCTACCTAATTAACTACCCCAAAAAACAAAGACCACAGAAATTAAAGGTTTACTGAGCTATAACCTTCACATCCTGTAGCATGGAAAAAAAATTTTTTGGTTCACTCAAAAAAACCACAAGCATATCACCTACACTTCATCTTTTCCCCCAAAAAATACATATGTTTATACAGGACAAAAAAAAATATACTGGAGCCAAAATTAGTTCAGAAAAATAATCATGCAGAAAAGTAAGTATAAACACCATTCTACTTCACATTTGTAGATTATAGCAGAGCTATTGATAAAGTTAACCATGCAGCTTCGTTGTCAGAAAATAGGAAGACCCCAACATCTGATCTAGAAAACCACTAATGCATGTTTGGATACTTCTAAATCAATGACGAAGAATATCCCCTACCTCCAGGGTAAAGAAAGGAGTAAAACAAGGCTAAACTCTGGCCACTCCTAATTAAAAACATAAAAATAAAAACAAAAGAGAAACACTGGGAACGACCGATGTATTGTATGTAGACTCAAATGAGACGTAATGTTTTGAAAAAGAAGAAAAAAGTTAAAGAAATCATAGTTAACTAGCAATAATAAAGAAAAAAATAATAAAATAAATAAACAAAAAACACAGTTTTTCTCCTTATTTTCAAGAAAAAACATGTAACCATTTCAAAAACTTATAGTTAGAACGAGGTAAATGTAGTCGCCAAAGGTCCTTAGGGATCACACTTAATAATAAAAGTAGTTGCAAATAAAAAAAAAAATAAGAATACAAAGGCGATAAGAAACTTTTAAACGTATATAAAAGTATGGAAGTAAGAGAGAAATCAGTATTTTCTAGACTGAGAACACATCCACAATTCCTATATTAGTCTATGGAGAGGACGGACATGTTAGAGAGACCAAAAACTGGGGAAAAGAAAAAAAAATAGAAATAGATGACTACAAACAATAAATGTCTCACAAACAAAAGAAGATATCTTCTACCCCAGAAACATTTCGAACTCAAATCTATGGAAAAATACGAAACATACCCAAAACTAAGTATAATATTAAAAAGAGCCGAAGTTAATTCTAGCCCACAGAAGAAACACGATTAACAAACTATTTCTCAATGCCATGAACATAACTTAACTCATATAATGGGTTAGTATAGGAAGTACAACAACACTTAAGACATTGTATATGTATGTTATTAAAAGTATGGGAAGACCGATTTAAATTAGTACATTTAATCAATGATAAGATAAATAAAAGATATTGTCAGTGAAGAAAGTAATTCACAGAAAAGTTGAAAGACAAAGTCAGGAAATAAATTGAGAAATAAAGAGATTAAATAACCTGAATCCAGGAAAAAAAACAATTATGAGAGATTTAGGTAGTTCGATTTAATTTTTAGTAATTTTTTTACAGATTTTTTGTTTTTATTTAGCCTTAGAAACTGTTTCAAATTTAAGTTTAGATCCATTATGTCCTTCAAGGCTCTTCATAATGTCTTATATTTGCAATATGTTTTCCCATTAAAGGAGTATAACCAATTGATGCATCAATAACGAGGCTATTGCTACTATGGTTTTTCAAAATATGGGCAAAGAAAGTAAGGCGCTCAATTTTTAAAGACACATGAACTTGGGTATGGTTAAACATATTCCAAAGGTTTTCATTCGAGATAATATTAGGGTAGAAGATGACATTTATTATTCTTAGACATTTATTTACGATCGTTTGTAATTTCCTAGTTTTGGTCTTGGTAATCTCCCATGTATCACCGCCACAAAAGAGAATCGGAATGATAGTTGAGTTGAAAATACGGAGTCTAGTAAAAACGGATATCTCCCTAGCTTTTCACAGTTTGAAAAATTTATAAAAAACTGCTCTAGCATTTTGTATACGGATTTTTAGTTCCTCTTTACAACTACCTTTATTGTCAGTGGTTACACCTAAAAATTTAAAGGATTTCACTACCTTAACCAACTTTCCCCCAACCACGAAGAAGCGCCTGAGACGAGGGCATTATCACTGTTTTATCAAAATTTATATCCAAGCCAACCTTAAGACTAAAGAAGTTCAATATAAAGATCAAATTTTGGGTTTCTTCCAAACTTTTGGTTATCAATACTATGTCATCAGCATAACATATCACCCTATTTTCTAAGTAGCACGACTGACTGGACCTCAATTCTAAGAGATTCGCAGTACCCAGCGTATCTACTATAATTTTATTCATGAGTATATTAAACAATAGCGGGGAAAGAACACACCCATGTACCCCTTTCTTTGTCCTAAAAGATGGAGAAACCTTATTAATTATTTTAAAGGAGGCCAAAAGACTGCTATAATGTGTTTTAAGGTTCCTTATAATATAAGAGTCAATGCCACATTCGATTAAAATCTACCATAGCGCATCATGGTTAAAATTATCAAAAGCACGTTTAAAGTCGATAAAAATAAAGTAAAAAGGTAATTTATACTTCTCACATTTCTGCATTATAATCTTTAAAGCTAATATTGGTTCGTTTATATTTCTACTTGGTCGGTAAGCACAAATGTATTTAGATAAAAGGTTCGGTGTAAAGGAAAGAATGCGGTTTTTTAAAAGAACCATAAAAACTTTTAATGCAATAGACGTGAGAGCAATGGCTCTATAACCCTTGAATTTAAATGAATTTGGAATTTTTATCAAGTTGCAAAAGATAGTCATATTCCAATCCGCTGGCATCATTCCAGTAAACCATATCTTGTTAAACAAAGGCAGTAAACCGAGAGATCGCTAAGGGAGCTGCTTTCAGATGTTTTCCTGTAATGTTATCCGTACCCGGAGATTTATTATTATTAGGATTCCTAATAGCTGCCACAATTTAAGCCAATGTTCGCATCCAATTGTCCAACACTTTGACTTGTGGATGGGATTAAGGTAGGCTACCTAGAATCAAAGACTTCCATATAGTGATCCAGCCATAACGCATCTGTTCATCGGGGTCAGTAATTAACTTATTATTATCCAGCCTTATAGTTGGAAGTGTCTTGAACACTTTGGCTTTACAAAAGTAATTTAGTTTCTTGTAGGCGTCGAAAGTTCTATTCTCCCTCATATCTTTGTCTATCTTAAAAAAAAATTTTAGCAATAAAAATTCTTCTATCTCTCCTTAGGAGTCTATAAATTGTGGTCCATAAGTAACCATCGCGCTCTCCTTGTAGCTTGAGTTGAGCTATCATACGAATGGTGTCATCGGATAGTCATTCCTGTCTTCGTGGAGAATTGTTGATGTTAGGGAGATGGTTGCAGGCACCAAACAGGTTGTTTTTGAAAGACGCCCAACATTCTTCAACAGACTGAGACTCCGATGAGGATAAGAAACCTCCCTATCATTTAAGATAAGATCCAGCTATAGCTTGACTTCAGGACGTTGCAGGTGTATTGCATTCCTTTTCCAGGAAAGGTATCTAGGTTGGGGTTGGAGAGAAGGACGCCGAGAGTTTCCCCATAAATTCCTGATGATAATGCTAGCTCTGATTAAGTTATGATCAGAAATATTAATATTAAACATTGCTTTTACATCAATGAACCAGCTATGAATGTTCGAGATGATAAAATCGATCTGAGATTTGGTATTATTTCTTCTGATGGTTAGGGTGTTAGATTCACTGTAGGAGAAGAAAGTATTTTCAACTCTGAGGTTCATACTCCTGCACATCCCCAATATCTTCCTACTGTCATCACTGTTTAATTGAGAGAGAGCTGCATTCCCAATTACCCCGTCTCTAATAAAAGAGTCATCTTTTCCGATCCTAGTATTCAAGTCCCCAAGGATTATCAAATTACGACTCCTAGGAAGAGAGTTAACAATATTTTCGAGGTCATCAAGGAATGGGAGCCGTTCCCTTCTGCTAGGTGGGGCATAAACATTTATTAAAATTGTTCGTCTGAAGCAGGTGTTCAGGTATAGCAGACCGCATCTATCCGAAATGGGCACAAATTTATCCACGTATTTACATAGTCTTTTGCTGATAAAGAAAGCAACCCCCGACCAATTATTGGAAGTGGTGCCAGAACTATACATTAAATATTTAATTAAAACACTTATTGTTGGTAGTGTTGTTAAATGGCTCGTTTTGAGCCGATTTTTAAAAACGGCTAACTCAATATTTTATCCAGAAAAATATTATGCAAGCCTCAAGATTTTGCTCATAGAATGGCAAAAAGGTTGTTTGAACATCTATTAAAGAAATCCAAGCTTTAGACAATATTTTTCCGGCAAAAATATTAGCCATTTTTAAAAATCAGCTCAAATCGAAC